TGCTGATTTGGTTCGTAGCACGAGTACATAGGGAGGGAACGCGTTCTGCAAGAAGAATCGTAGGGAAAGGGCAGCGAATATTTACTCTAGAATTGATGTACATATTTGAGAATTAGTGGAGGAACAGCATATTAGTAGAAAGTTCAAAACGGGGAGATTCGCAGCCTCTTGGCATAGTCAAATACTGCAGCCGCAAATGCGTCATTCATCGGAACAGGGTCGGAATGGAAGCGACGTTAAAAGAAGTGATCATACTATACTATGGCCATAAGTTTATTCTGATCAAGAGACTAGAAACACCTTTCGGCTGCACAAGTTGTTGTCATGTAGACAAAACACCTTTCAAACGACTCCGAGTTGGGTCACTGCATGGCGCATACCAGAACGGAATGAATCTGTGTATCATTTCCTATTTACTTCATTGAGCTGACGTGCCCATACAGCATTTTGAGGGCGTTGTAAAGAAGATCCTTGTTAGGTGAGGAAGAAACAAAGTTTTCGTGTAGCATCGAAAATTAGGGCGGAAGTGGTGTAGTGGCAAGTGGCACGCTTACCACGCGAGCGGTCCGGGGATCAAATCCTGGGTCGTGAGTCGCCCGGGCCAACCAAGCCTTCCATCCCTCCGGGGTCGGTTAATTGGTACCAGACTTGTCTGGGAGGATAAAAACACTGACTTGTACATCGGCTGGCCCCCGCAAGTCATTGTATAGGCCACATCGCATTCAAACGCCACTACGAATGTACAAATGGAAGTAGAATGCGTGCCGCATCCCAAAAAGGGATTGATCAACGGCAAATGCTTTATCCTTTATCCTTTTATCAGAAATTTCTCGAAATTCCTTCGTTACTTTTCTTGAATGGTTATCAATGAAGAAAGTTATAGTCCTTTCAAATAGGGGGTACATTTGACGATTTTTCCAACTAGCGCGCTCTAGGCACAGCGCGCGACGCGATCGCGGGTAGTTAGCGCCGCTATACTGGAGCGCGAGACTTAAACGGTCTTTAGGCAGCACCCTCTTCCCATTTCTACTCTCCGTTCTTTTCTAGTAGAAGTTTTCCCTGCTCCTTTTCTGATTTCTCATCTATCACAGGTCAGTCCGTTTTCAGGTTCTGTCCTTCGAAAAACTAAGCAGTGGTTCCGCGGAGCATTCCTGTGGCAGCGAGGCTGCCTCCCTCTTGCACATCTGAAACTAGCATTTTTATTATGAAACCGGATGTGCAGAGGACAAAAAGGGGTCGTATCAGAGTCTATGTTTGGAGGGGGGTCGTAAAGAGGCGGCTATTTCCTCGACACGATTTTCAACCTGATACGCGGACAGATGATAGTATACGGTTGACGGTATGCGTCCCACCAGTCCATACAGAAAGTTACGGAGCATTCGCGCAAAATTAATCATTTATGGAAAGAGTTCTTCCGGAGATCTGCAAAATTGCCCTCGGAACTGAAATAAATTCTACAATAAAGGTTTCAGTCACTCTTGATTTTGATAAATATTCCTCATTACAGCCATCAGCGCCGGAAACTTATTCCGCTACAGTTCAGACTGAATTGGGAATGTTCACGATGGACGAAGAGGTAATCGCATTCCGTTCTGCTTGTTGTCACAGCTCTGGTCGAAAAGCCGCCTCAACTCAGTCGATTCACATATGTAGCTGATTAGGCCCTTTTAGTGTTTTTGACGTACTCTTTCATTTTTCTCTTCACTGCCAACCACCAATGCCCACTGTATTGAGCCGGAGCATGCCGTCAAGCTCCATGTACTGTCTTTCACTTGATTAGCTAATACGTTGCACCTGAATTCTTCAAGAACCTGGGCACAACACGGTGGAATCACAAAGGTTCGTCTGAAGGAGGAGCAAAGTAGTCCAACTTCCTCCTATAAAAACAAACTGTCCTACTCCTCAACACAAAATGTCACCTTTTCCGTGAGTCAATATGTACAGGGGGGGGGCCAAAAAAAAGAGTCACTTTGCCCATGGCGCATATCATCAAACTTTTCGTCGCAAAGGATGCCGCTGTTATTGGGAGTTATACGGCGAATTATTCCTTAGATGTCCCCCATAAGCAGAATCAGGCCCACCTTCGCTGCCTTCACCGTCTCCAGAATATGACGTCATCTGTCATCACCGTCGAGCTCAAGGAGGCCTACATAATCGCTCCATTCTGAAGCTGCTACATAATTCTTCAATCGGATAACTGGTGAATGACTTCTTAGGGACACTAGCTCTGACTATGCAAAATGGCTATTGAGAGACGTCGTAAACATCTAAGGCTTCTCGACGACCCCCGTTAGCTCACACCGTGCACCATGTTTTCCGCGGACACGCCTCGTGTTTGTTTGTGTAGAAGTCCCGTACAGTCGATATCCGAAAGTTGGGGTGGGTGTGTCACCGGAAGTGACGTGCACTTGATAGAAGTGCGTGGATAAGCTGTTGCCAGCATGCTTTGCTGATAGCCAGCGATGTATGTTGGAAGCAGCTTATCCACATAGTTTCTATCAAGTGCACGTCACTTCCGGTGACACGCCCACCCCAACTCACCGATATCGAGTATATGTATTTTTTGATAGAATAGGCTGTGCTCTTCAATACGTAATTGAGCCCATCAGGTTTGGTTCTGGCAAAGTGTAATTAACTCTGCTTTGAATGTAAATGAAAGGACTCTTTTTTTTTGTCCCTCCCCTTCGAACCACGGCATTCAGGTCCATGCTTTACTGAAGCACATTCAAAGCAACAACCCCGAACCATTGCAGGGAATTTAATGAGGTCGGTCCTCAGGCATGTCTGAGGAGGGAGATTCACATTACAGCAGCCCTTAATTGCCATGTTTCAAGTTCACCACCGTGTGTGAACTTAGTCAGCGTTGCTGCAAATCCGGAACTGGTAGCATTCGTCTGTCTCCTCAGGATGTCAAGGCTGGAATTCTAAACACCAATCACTCCTTTTCTAGTGCGCGAGTACCTTACTTTCCTCTTAACAAAGCCCCCACTCACGAAACATTGGGAGCAAGACACTACGACCTGGTGAGACCCTCTTCCTGAGTGGAGCAGATAAAATAGGATTTTAATAATAGGAAGAGGAATCCCTAATATACAGTAGACCAAAAGATGCTGATCTAGAGATGGAGTATAAGGCTAAAAACTAGAGCGAAGGTTTGGTTAACACTCTGTTAAACCGCCTAGTATCACCTATCGTAATCAAGGCGGAACAATAATTAGTTTTTCTTGCCTGGAGAAGTTCTGTTTAAAGGACGAATTCACGCTGGGAAGGCAACCCATTTCAAATTAACTCAGGGATGGTGATTGGTACACGAAAGAAGGAAGAACCATGAGAAACGGCCCAGAACCCGAGAAATGGGACCCCTTCCTTCCCCGCTGATTTGAGCATTGATGCGACTCTTATCGCTGTGCCCTCCTCAACATCACGCTCTCTCTGCTATCTAATCAATCCCACGTATAGATCTGCGGCGAGTGATCAGCTGGTCGGTGGGCGGAGATCGCCAGACCCGCCAACTTTGAGGCATAATAGGTCGCCGAGGTCAAATTTTTCGATGCGAATTGCGCATCAGTTCGCACCCTCAGGAGGTCCGTGGGTCCTCAACTAGGTCAAATTACTTTCTTCGACCTTCCATTCTAATCGTGAAATCCTCCTTTAAAGGAATCTTCCACGGACCATGGACCAGTGGGCGGGACCGGAAGTGGTTTTGCGACGAAATGCATGGTAGGTACGGATCCACGTTCATGGGAAGGTTTGAAGTGAATCCTGTTCACGTTCGTGCGTTCGACACGTGGATCCGTACCTACCATGCATTTCGTCACAAAACTTCCGGTCCCGCCCACTGGTCCATGGTCCGTGGAAGATTCCTTTAACCTTGCAGACTTTCGGAGAACCCAAAGTATCATGTTCGCCACTACTGCATCCGAGCAAATCCGACGACGAAATCCTCATCAGTTTTTAGCAGCGTAGTATTTTTCCCTTCACATATTGAAAGCATTTCCAGGAGTCAGAGAGCGAGAGCGAGCATCCAATTACGGTTGATAGTGGCACGTGGATGGAAACCAAGAATTACAAGGCGTCTGCAACTCAGGTGCTCTTCATGGTCACAATCTGAATATAATATGACGAGGGGTTGTTGTAAGGGGGCAGGGTCTGGAGCGCAGTTTTTCACCAGGTCCTAGCCCTCAATCGTAGTTATTCTCCTGTAAGCTCTATTTGTTCAGATTTCAAGTCCACGAAAGGACTCCGTGCAGGTGCAGTGTACACCATCAGTCAGTACGTCACAAACCCAATATACATGCTTATGTGTGACCGATGAGTCTTCACAGACTGAAATATGCATGAAAAACAAAAAGAATCAGGTGAGTTCTACATGTGTCGGCTGAAATGAAGGACATTCTCGGATTCGACCTTACTTTTGCGACAACAAACTGACTTCGAAGATTCCAGCAAATCTTTGCTCCACTTTTACACAGAAGGGATATCAAAAAATGTCAACGTAATTTAGTACTAATATACGAAGTATACTTGAGCTTCGTTCTGTCTTGAACTGAGATTTGATTCTGTTTCCAGAATTCCGTTTTGGCCAATGTTGTTTATCATAAATAATGTTCTGAGGTTAATACAGGAATGCGAAGCGTCAGTGCTTACTCAAGACGCTTTCGTGCAGCCCACGTTCACCTTCGCAGATGAGGCCCTGCAAGTAGACGATTCGGATTTCCTGGGATTCAACGGCATTGACCAGTTGGGAGCACCGCTGCTACACTTAGGCTTCACTGCAACTACCTATAACCTTAACCTTCTTTTTCTTGGGAACTTTGCAATTCAACTAACTGAATCTCTAAGCTTACTTCAATCATCTTCACTCTATCGCAGCTTTCGGGCTCGGGGAAGGAAAAACCCCCCCAGTTTTTTTGGTAGTGGTGTTTTTTTTTTTGCTTTATATCCTCCTCAAACCTCATGTGAAGAGCGATTAGAAGTACAATCAAAGTCTATACCCGCACATGCTGGTGATAACGAGGCATGAAGTGCTAAAAAAGCCTTGTGATGCCAAGCTAATCATGCTCTGCTTTAGGTCTACGTAACCGAACTGATGGATGAGGAAAGGCGTAGACGAATGATAGATATCGGAATTCAGACAGGCGTTCTGGCCAGGGTGCAACACATATACGAGACCGTCGACACGGACCTTCCTGTAAGGGCACCAATCGAGTTAAAAGTTATTTTGGTACTGGATATGCATTTCAGCCCGAGGTTGAGGTTGCACGGCCAGCTATTCGTCTCAGCGAAGCGGAAAACGTCGACGACAGCTCCTCTCTTGAAAGGTTACTTCCAAAACTTTTATATCACCATGAATTCCTATTTTCGATATTATTTCAATTCCATGATTCCGCTGATGCTTCACTTCTTTTTTCTCCCCTTTGTTGAATCTAAAACGCGGCTCTCAAAGTAACTAGTTTCTGAAAACCCAGTGCCGAAAGTCTTTATTTCATTCCAAAAAATCATGATCGTAAGGCGCTTTTCTAACCGTAGCATTCCTAATTGCCGGCAAACGCGTTGAAATTTTGAAGAATATAACACCTACACCAGCGACTTTTCGCTCTTAAACGTGACGGGAACTGGGATCGCCATCCTACCTGTACCTGATGTACCTCTCGTCGGCCGATCTAGGCAGTCAAAAACGCTTCCAGCCATTGGATCAATGGGGACGTTCCACGCTGCCGCTGGCAAGCTTGCTGGATCAGCACCGCTTGGAGACTAAGATTTGCAAACAACATCCATTGCATACCTTTCATCAACATCTCTTCCAGTGTGTGGTCGAGTGATCCCTGGTGCAGTGGCAAAAAACCGGCTATGAGCCCTACCATCCAGGGCTCAAGTCCGAGAGGCGCAAGTTTTGCAGGTCGTGTGGCGAGGCTGGCGGTTTCAACGAGGGTCATGTCCATGTTTCCACGTTCTCTATTCCTCGCCAATGGGTGTAAATCACCACATTTGACTGCCAGTCTAGGGCACTTTACTACCGTCCCAGATGATTGGATCAATCTCTCTTACGAACAATTGCTGGGTATGCGACCATAGATAGGGCCATTTTAGCGATGCAGATTATACAAAACTCTATGGACTTAAAACTTGCATATATGAACACCACAAGCAACCGCCCACGCCTAACGCCCACGCCTACGTTTGCAATATCCGTCACCTCGCTCTCCGCTATGCTCTCTCGTCTCTGTCTGTGATTTGTACCTCACAACCCACATTGTCTCACGGATTTTTTGTCTCCCAGACTCGCTCACGGCCCGCACAGAAAGGGTCTTTCTTGGAACATTTTTAGCCATTTCTCATCATTCTTTCTTCACTGGAAGTTTAATTAGCACCAACTGTTTCGTATTTGAAACCCATACCCCGTTTCTGCAGAGTGCGCCTACGAGGACTAAAGCCAGCCTCGAGAACGTAGGGAGGCAGAGACTTGTCATAATCCTGTTCAACAGTCTCAACAGTCCAAGACAGCGGTTTTGCTCACTTGGTTTTTGGTTGCAGTTAATGTGCATACGTTTTTGAAGACTGCTTGGGGATGAAATCTTTAGCAGCAGTCCACAATAGCTCACCGGATTCATAGACAAATTTACGGTTAGATATAATACCGGGGCACCATGAATCTTCGATAACATTCCCAGGCGATATGACAGTGTTGGACAATGCAACCCAGTCAAGGCGATACGGAATAAGTACGAGTGATGCTCTTCGGAAATATGACAGAAGAAAGCAAAGCCGTCGAAATGGGTCGATGTCTTGGCAAGAGGTACAGATAGTTGCTGTGACAGAGGATGAACTTGTTTCTTTTTTCAGCTCCAAAGCACCCTCACCACGCCCATCGTCAAGCGTTTCGGTACCTCACTCACCAGTGGACCGACTCACTACGTCTCCACAACTACTGAGAACCAAGTAAATTTTTAATCGAATGTTTGGTAGCATTTTATTTGTAGCCAGGACATTCTGAACAATTATGTAGTCATCGAGGTGGTTAGGCTATGCTAGAGCATCTTTTAATTGTGGCACAGACTTCAAATCTAACATGAACTGGGTAGAGCCAGGCCACACAGCTGGGCTTGTGACACTTCATACTCCTTCCGCTTCCCAGTGTCTTAAAATGCCCAATAAAAATAATAAAATAAAAAACCGGTATTATACTCAACAATGGACACTTCATTCATGTCGAAGTTGTCATGACATCTTTATAACAATCTGCCAAGTCACAGATCGTCGACAGATATAGAACAGCTTCAGACAAACTGACTCGATTTAGCTCGCTTTTTGTTTCCCTGCAATATTCTTCAGAATTTTAGCCGACTGTTTGGGGTGTCTGATCCCAAGACTTATGGTTCTAAGTTGAACTTGTGAGTTTTTTTCGGAACTCATAAGTGAGGTAATCTTAGGGGAGCTCAGAATAAAAATGTCGGCCAGAATGGCCATTTGATCAAACCCTCGTGATTACTGTGTCTGCGGAAAGGAGATTGCATAATGGGTTTGTGAATAGTCCAACTTCTGTGCGATTTCACAAAATTAAATAAATTGGCCCCTTATTGTACCTTGCCACAGAGTCGATTAAAGCAACAGTCCCAGCAGGGTTTTTACCTTCTACACTAATGGTGTGGAACGATGCGCTAGCCCTAGTCAAGAACATAAAAAGTGTGACTGAACAAAAAACTCACCTTGGAAAGCCGCTAGAAAGGGAGCTGAACAGCTTCCAAAGTGGGTGTGGTCGCCAGTCACCTCTAACGTGAGTTTCTTGTTCAGTCACACCTTATTATATTCTTGAGTAGAGCTAGCGCATCGTTCTACACCATTAGTTCGAAGGTCAAAACCCTGCTGGGAGCTGTTGCTTTAGGTAGATTTGAGCCTTTTTCGGTCAAGGTAGGATGAAGTAGAGGGTTATGTTACCCTTCCCTTCCTGTATCATATCATAAAGAGGGCCAAAAATCAAATACTAATCAAAAAGTGGAATAGCCCTCAGAAGCCTCCTAAATCCATTCATTTATTGATCAGAGAGGGATGAATGAATCTTCTGAATTACTACTTCAGTGAAACCTTGTCTCCGATAATTAGCTTAGCCGCTACTTTTGCTACCATTATCTTTGCAGGACAAGTGTCCACTAACTGGAAAGGCCATGAATGTGTGTCATGGTGTTTCAGCCTCATAGCGCACTAATTTTCTTACCGAGTGCAGGTGTGGGTCATGAACTGTGCAGATATGTTCTTTAGTGAAGGTTCCATAATAATACGGTAGATTTAATTTGATGGCCTAGGGAAAATTTTATGTCCAACGGATAAACACCAGTTTGAATGCTGACTGTAAGCAAACATGTGCTCTTCAATGAAGAACTGTACCCTAAATTCACATACGGTGTCTCCAATTTCAATGCAGGACTTGGGTGGCTTGGTGATGCATCCGCTGTGGTACGCAACGAGGTGTGCTCAATTAGGCCTCGGACCCTTCCAATGGTGAAAGTAGCTCGTGGGGATTTCGGATTCGCTGAATGGCTTTCGCCATCGACTGTATGTAGCGGTCATCTCAACAGTGGGTTGATAAAATTGAAACCATTGATTAATTGTGTAGATTTGCAATTTTTGCTTAGTCGGAACGTTTTTGCGCCACAGGAAAACAGAGTTCATTGCCGAAGCAAGTCGAAACAGGGTTTTTCAGGAGATTTGAGGAGAAGAGAGTCAGATGAATGGCGCATTCTCGGGAAAGGGGGAGGGGGGAGTTGAGAGCCTAGCCACTCTTGACTCAGACAAGTTCAAACTGATGAACTTTTTTCGCCTTTAGTCCTGCCCCGAACAGTGACAATGATAAAAAAGCATTTGCCGCAAACAATTCACCCAACCCGGCAATGAATGGTTGTCTTCCTGGCGCAGTGATCACAGTCAATGCAGGGGATGAATCCAATTCCTTGGCAGCTACACAATGCAAAGACAATGTATCATATTTCGAGTCATCTCGTCCTTACCCAAAATGGGGTGAATTGAGACTCAAGTTCCCTCAAACTTTTCATAAACATTTGGCAAACGAGCAGTGGTTCATCTATCCATCACTTATGTTATTTCCTTTTCAGACCCCCGACCCTCAGAAAGTTCCAAGCGCCTGCAGAAGTGCAGAACAGGGTGAGTTGGTTCGACTCCGGCAAATCTAATATACTGAAATAAGTTCTCTATGGAGCTGTTGTTTTAAGGTATCAGACCTGCGCTCGAGATTTGAAAGAGGGAAGCCTGATCTACGGGGAAGTCAAAGGCGGACTCGGTCGTCATCCGCCGAGAGATAGCACTCCTTTCACATTTATCCTTTGACTGTTGATAACATATGTACGTATTGCCAGTTGTCTAATGGTGCTACCACACTTACAATTGCTCAGGGAGGGTCCCTTTGAAGGCGCAGTTGTGCACAAATGAAAATTCTAATCCCTGTTTAACGATTTGTCATACACCGAGGAGTGTTCACCTTGAATAGTTAAAACATGTCTCTAGTGCAGGATTCTGGTCAGCGTTTAGGTCAAATATTCGTGAATACCTGTCAATATTTGTTATAATGTATACATACGCTCTTTCTCACACGCTCTCTTTCTCTCTCTCTCTGGGAAAGGAAAAAATGTTATCTGCGCTGTCTGAGCAGGGACTGGGATTGCAAACCTATCACCATGTGGAAGAGTAACAAGAAGCTTTTTTCAAATCGAATATTCACGGCGATAAGGCAAAATTCCGTGAAAAGAGAATCTGCAAAGCACAGGCCCTCCAAACATTTCTGTCGCCTTCTGGTACGATATTTCGATGGTGCCAAACAATCGACGATATACAGTAGCGGTCAAAAGTTTGGAGACCTTTTTATTTTTGACCCATGGCAGTAAATAAACAGCAAAATTGCCCCAGTTTGACCTGCTATATCCAAGATCAAAGTGTAGAACATGACGGCATTGCAGTTTCTGGATAGAAATCAAGTAATCCTGATAGAGTAGCCCGCAATAAGCTGCGTAAGTATTGCATCATATACGCGAACGAGATGACCGGGCTGTGACTGGAAAAAGATATGATGAAAGCAGAAGGCTGCTTGTAATAACGAGGATAAGTACTTAAAAATTCCCATCAATATGAGGAATTCGTAAAGTACAATTGGATCCAATAAGACACTTACACTAAACTTCGTTGGCATGCCGGGCAGAGGGTCAAATCGATCCAGCGATAAATTTATTTCCTCTCCATCTCAGTTTCTTCTTTTTCTTCAGCTTGCTGAGTCCGATCTCTAATCTGCGAAAATTTTTTAGAACGGAAATTCACGCTGGAAAGGCAACCCATTCAAAATTAACTTAGCGATGGTGAGTGGTACACTAAAGAAGGAAAGAACCATGAGAAACGGCCCAGAACCGAGAAATGGGACCACTTCCTTGCCCGTTGATTTGAGCATTGATGCGACTATCATCGCCTGTGCCCTCTTCAACACTACGCTCTCTCACCTATCTAATCACTCGCCCCCAGGGTCAACCCTACGTTGTTACTAGTAACAACGTGGGGGGGTCGTAGCTGGTTGAGTTTAGGAGGGGGGTCGTATCCGCTTCAGTCGGCGTGAAAGTACATGTGAGTTTGTGGTGAAAGTGGATTTTTCACGAGTAGTAGGTTAGGTGAGTTGGGAGGAATAGGGAGTCGTACGCAAATCCACCTGTGTGGATGGGGTGAAAACTTTTGAAAAGATACAACTACAGGACTGCACCCCTCGCGCACGTACAGAAAGTGGACTTCAGAATGAGCGATTAATCGCATACACTATAGACCTGCGGCGAGTGATCAGATGATCGGTGGGCGTGCACTGGCCCACCGCGCCAAGATTGAGCCTTAATAGGTCGCCGAGGTCAACTCCTTCGGTGCCAATTGCGCTTCAGTCCGCACCCTTAGGAGGTCCGCGGGTCCCTCAACTAGGTGAATTACTCCTTCTTCGACCTTCATTCTGATCGTGAATTCATTTCGTCCTTTAAAGAAATTCACGCCACAAGTCTGGAAACTTTTTGTTTCCCTCATCATTGTTAATTCCTACTATTCAATGTTTACTTGTTTCTGTTAATTTTCAGTTTGGTCATTGAGTATTATGTAATTTCAAAATGAATTCATGTGCAAAGGAAGCAGTTTTCTCCATGGGAGAGGTTTTTTAACCCTACAATATGGAATACGAAATTGAAAGTTGTTTCTCAGAAGTTCAATTTTTACAGAGGGTACTTAGCCTGAGCAAAAATTATCCGCCGTTTTCATTTCACTCATAAGTTTATTAACAAAAACAAAAACAACAATAAATGCGTAATCAACAAACGCTCGAACAGTCCTCTCTGCAACCGTGCCTTCATCCCAGGCTTCATTGATTCTACGAGCAGATGCAGAAGCATTCGGTTTCGAGCTCAACTTGCACTCATAGCAGGGGCAATCTTTTTTGCTTGTGTAAGCTCCAGAGTGAAACAAATACAAATATTGCGCGCTTTCAGAGCACACCATAATCGTAAAAAATAATCAGCAAAATATCGAGGGGCCATGAACCTAAAAAGAACGGTGGATAATTTTTGCTCAAGCTAATATCAAGAGTTTAGCGTTATAAAACCAGCAAGCATGAATAGAATGACCCTTAACAAAAAAAACCCTCACGAAAAATGGCCTCTCATAAAGACTTCAAAGAGTGGTTGGCACGACCCGTCTCTCCGGCAATGAACCAAGGAACGACTTTTTCGGGCTTTCTTTCCGGACAAATGAAAGTCCAAGTGCAGCCAACATCGGCCGCGACCTGGCGAATATTACGGAAGATGTCCCAACAAGAAGCCATTGTTGGGCTTCAAGAGCAGGATGGCCCAACTGGCTTCCGCACATTAACGGCTAACATGGACCAAAGGCGAGAGGTAAAAAATTGTGCTCAGAGACGGGACGAATTCCAGCCTTCTTGGAACCGAATTAGTAGACTTTGTAAAGCGTTCGCAGGAAACTTTTTCTACTATCGGATTCCAAAAGTCAGAAATGTGGAAGTATTGTCATAAATGGAGACGTGTCCGACCATTCGGCGATTCCCGCAGTTCTTATCCAGCGAAATGAGAGTTGGGCTGAATACCAGCAGAGTCTAAAGAATACAATGACTCTCCTCAAAAGTCACGATCTAAACTCGAACTGAGTTCTGCACCCCAGGAACGAGCTGGCGTGTTGCACAATCCATATTTCAGTAGAGAATCTTACCAGCCAAATTGACTTAATTCACAAAGTGTAGACTTGGACCTAAAAGTCTTGAAATGATCGATACGATGTCAATGTAACCATGCTACTTAATAACTACTAATTTCCCATGTGGATTAGAGAGCTATTTGTGCTGAATTCGCTTTGGAATTGAGAAGTTTCCAAACTTTTGACGCGCCGTTTCTTATAAAAAATCGTATTTTTCCAATTGCGCTTTTTGATTCAAAGACATTATGTAGCACATCGTATTCCGAGCCTTATTGCATGTAATAAGTGAATTCAGGAATTTTTCGTTGCCTGTTGGCCGAGCTAGGAGAAAAACAAAAAAGTTTCCACACTTGTGACCGCTAAGATATGTTGATTTTCTCGGCCAAATGCTCGAATGCCAATACTAAATATGTACACGTAGAAAACAGGCCAACTGAACTAGTTCGAAGAGGAGATTTCAGAAAACCAACCGATGCTCGGCAGCACTTCGTCACCTACTGCTATCCTCCATTGAGACGATAGAACTTATGAATAGTAATGCTGGGAAAAGGATGCGAGAGTTCTACGCCTCCGCGTCGCGAGGGACTTCCAGAAGGTGATGCTGCGAAAACTGACACTCATATTCTGTAGTGCGCATGCCTTAATAATGTGTCGTTTGAGCCGTTACGGTAAGCGTTCAGATCTGGCGGAAAATGCGACTTGGCTTCTAAAACTGTAAAAGCTCACAATAAGAGTTGGCGTTGTATCGATGAATGCCCTTGCTCTTGTACTCTTGGTCAGCTCTGCATTTTTGCCTCGTTGGGTGGGAATGGCTAAAACCTAGACGCACCGTCTGAGTCACATAGCCACCTAGGGGGCGTTGTAAGCAGAGTGCTTTTACACAAGTGCTCCGAAATTGAACCATCATTGAGTGGGAATACCTATAATTCATGACAGTTCATCCAGCTCTTCGGCACCATTGTTGATCTCATCCCATTCAAGAAGCGCGTTTCCTTCATTGTGTTATTGCATATAGTCAAATTACCAATTTGAGACGAGTCCATAGTATTATGGAAACTGCGAATCGAAGTGTTAACTGGATGTCGGCGCGAAGACCGACGAACGGCGCCGGCGCTTTTGCTCGCGCCTGGCCGTCTCTGAGCGAGCGGGGTGACTCGAACATGTCTAGCTTATTCACGTGTCAAGTTACTGCGCCCCACTCCACCATAAGACTGCTACGCTCCCTGGCTACCGGATTTCGCGAAGGGATCGGAACGATGCAGTGGCGAGCAAAGCTACGCGCCGCGCGTGTATTCCCCACCTAAGTTAGCACCTAGCTGAGCTTTTTTTCCTACTGTTTTAATCGTAGAGCTCTTTATCTGCTTATGTGATGATACTCTTCGCCGTTTTCTATGTTTTATGATGAAATGACATGGCTTTGTTATTGCACATCTGCACATACATTAGATGAGTGAATAAAATAATAAATAATATGTATGTCGCCGGAAGATTTGAAACCCACACCATCACTAATTGAAAATTAACACAGCCGTCGAGCTCCGGATTCGTCCAGGCAATCCGATGCGTCAAGCACCGTTCATCGGCGTATCTCATTTTCAAATTAACTTTGCGCCCCCCCCCCCTTAGAGGGGTCTGGTAGACCCCTCGATGCTGTATGGTCAGTAAGCAAGAAGGTAAACATCAAATAATCAAATTTAAAGGACCTCAAGAAAGGTCACGTTGTGGCATCAGCCTAGGAGCGCGCCAGGTTTCATTCGAGCGCTGAGTGAGTTAAGCACGTCAAGGAAAATTATTTTAAACGAATATAACTTTTCCGAATCATACATTTTTGAATTGCTTAGATAGATTCGGAACACGCATGGCTCTGCTTTCATAAGCCAATCGAGTTTACCTTACAGATCGGGAATGCTTCTGTTACGCAGCGGAAAGCCAAAATTCCAGAAGTGCGCACATCTCCTAGAATCGAAACGAGTGACAGGTGACTGAATTCAGTTTTCAGGCTTAGGTTCCATTCTTTCAAATAGGGCAGTCATTCATTCTTGCTTGGCAATTATCTTTTCTAGAGCTAGCCATAAATTGTAAGGGT